GGATGAAAAATAAGAAGAATTTCCAAGCCGGCAAAAAGTTGTATCTGCAGAGCTCCGCTAAGTGTATCTGCAGAGCTCCGCTATTTCTGACAGTTCTCTGACATTCACATTTAACAGCGGGAGTTGAAAAACATTGTATCTATTTTGTTTCCAATGGGAGAAAACAAATAGATACAAGTGTTTCAACCGCTGATAAATGTGAATGTCAGAGAACTGTCAGAAATGGAGGAGCTCTGCAGATACACTTTTTGCCGGCTTGGAATTCTTATTTTTCATCCTACCTTCTTCTTCTTCTTCTTCATCCTCCATCCTCATCCTCATTCCTCATCTTCTTCTTCTTCTGAGGTATGAGGCTGAAGAAGAAGAAGTAGGATGAAAATAAGAAGAATTCCAATTCCGGCAAAAAGTGTATCTGCAGAGCTCCGCTAAGTGTTATTGCAGAGCTCCGCTATCCTTCTAGCGAGCTCTGCAGATTCACTTTCTTGCCTTGGAATTCTCACCTTCTTCTCATCCTTCTTCTTCTTCTCATCCTTCTTCTCCTTCTCATCCCTTCTTCTTCTTCTCATCCTTCTTCTTTCTTCTCATCCTTCCCTTCTCCTTCTTCTCATCCTTCTCCTTCTTCTCATCCTTCTTCTTCTTCTCATCCTTCTTCTTCTTCTCATCCTTCCTTCTTCTCATCCTTCTCCTTCTTCTCATCCTTCTTCTTCTTCTCATCCTTCTCCTTCTTCTCATCTTTTCTCCTTTCTTCTCCTTCTCTTCTTCATCCTTCTCCTTCCCCTTCTCATCCTTCTCCTTCTTCTCATCCTTATCTCTCCTTCTTCTCATCCTTTTTCTCATCCTTCCTCCTTCTTCTCATCCTTCTCCTTCTTCTCATCCTTCTCCTTCTCCTTCTTCTCATCCTTCTCCTTCTTCTCATCCTTTCTCCTTCTCCTTTCTTCTCATCCTTCTCCTTCTCCTTCTCCTTCTTCTCATCCTTCTCTCCTTTCTTCTCATCCTTCTCCTTCTTCTCATCCTTCTCCTTCTCTTCTTATCATCTCCTTCTCCTCCTTCTTCTTCTCATCCTTCTCCCGCATCGAATCGAATTTCTTCCTCAAATTCGGCGAATCAGCCGAATCGAATTTTTGAATAATTCGCTCATCTCTAATTATTAGTATGCTTAAGGCGGAACCCTATATCCTACTGGTCATGTACCAGGTGTACAGAAAAGGAAAGAGAAAAGGAAACTAAGAAGAGAATAGGGGACATGGAAGGTGGAGTAGTCCCCTAGAAAAGAAGGGGGTAAGAAAAAAGGTGGGAAATAGTTAAGGTTCAGCAGGCCCTTAGTGGCCCCCCGCTCCTGCAGTCCCCTTTGTGTTATTCCGCTATGCAGATGGCTGTAGATATGAAAGCCATGGATGCCAAACCCTATCAAATCTAGTCTGTCTGTCTTTAAAATGCTCACCAGTCTCTCATGAAGCATAATCCACGATATTTTATTTTTGGCCTCTGCAAAATTCAATATCGGGAAATTCCAAGTCTTGGCCAGAGTCATTTTTGCGGCATATAAAAGAGAAGACTATGTAGAGACCTGGGAGTCTCATCTGGTATATCATTAAACAAAGCCACCTTGGCCTTCCTGGGGGCATTAATACCTGTTACAGTATATGTCAGGGTCAAAATCCATATCCAAAACTGTCGAGCTCTCGGGCATATCCACCATATATGGTACATCTTGCCCTCACCCCCACATACTTGGAAGCAGAGAGGCAACATTTCATGGTTACACTGCTTGTATTAATCAGTATGTGAAATATGCGGTCTGTTTTAGATGAAGGAAGAATGTTTCATAAACTAGAGCCGTTATGCAAAGAGAAGAGAGAAATATTTGAAGACATTATCACTTATTGATGGACAGGGTGCCCAAACCTTTACACACACATTATACTGTGTGTTTCATTTTTGGTCAATTTGTTCATTTTAAAAAATAGTAACTCCACACTATAGTTAGTTTGTAGAAACCGGTCAGATTTATCAGATGTATTCTTTACATAGTTTGTATTAAGGAATAATTTCATGCATGGACTGACTGCATATACCATATCTGGCCCCTGGACACCGCTACTCCAGTGATCTCCACTTGCTTTCAGGTCCTGGTCCAAGCTGCTGCCCTGCTGCATCCTAAACATAGAAAGTCAGCTGCTTGGTACGGGTACCTTTCAGAGAAAGCTGTGTATTCTCTGAATAAATGCATTGGACAAAGTGGAGAGTGTGATGTCTCCACCCCTCCTCTCCACCTCATTCAATGATTGAATGCTTTGCGGATGATCCCCTGTGTTCAGAATGCAGCAGCACAGTCACTGGACCCAGAAGCAAGCGGAGATCACCAGAGTAGCAATATCTGCGTCAGTGATTTCCAGCTTCCAGAGCAGAATTTCTCAGTCAGGGTGCCATGGAACCCTAGAGTTCCTCTAGAACAGTGGTTCTCATCCTTCCTAATGCCACGACCCTTTAATACAGTTCCTCATGTTGTGGTGACCCCCAACCATAAAATTATTTTTGTTGCTACTTCATAACTGTAATTTTGCTACTATTATGAATCGTAATGTAAATATCTTACCTCCAATACTGCTGCTTTCAACACAGTAGCTGCTTTTAACAGAGTAGCTGCTTTCAAACACAGCAGCTGCTTTCTACACAGTAGCTGCTCTTTACACATGTGTGACTGGTCCACATAAGTACATTATGGAAAGAGCAGGGCCTTTGACCCCCTCGTGTTTTGTTTTGTTACTGTATTGTCTCATGTTCTGTCCCCCACTATCATGTACAGCGCTGAGCAAACCTTTTAGAGCTATATAAAAACTGTATAATAATAATAATTATGGCGCCAACCCTGTCACATACACCTCTACTTGTACGGGGTGTATGTGATGGGGTTGGTGCGATGATGTCATCACGTCGGGTACTCGTATGTGGGCGTATCTGCATGTGGGCGGACCCGCCTGGAGACGGATAGAGGAGCGGTGTCTCGGTTCCTAAGACCATCTGAAATATGTTTTCCGATGGTCTTAGGCGACCCCTGTGAAAGGGTCATTTGACCCCCAAAGGGGTCGCGACCCACAGGTTGAGAACCGCTGCCCTAGAAGTTGCTAGGGGTTCCTTGAGCATTGAGAAATTTCTGCATCTCAGATAAGTTCCCACTGACACCATTGATATTTTAAGTTATCTGTAAGGGGGTAATTCCTCCCAATGACCACAAGTGTAAGGAGCATTCTTCCCTCTGACCATCACACTAATACACTAATGTATTGTGAGTTGTAGATATAGTAAATTTTAGCAAAGGTTCCCGTTGACCAGAAAGTTATTTCAAGGGTTCCTCTGGGTGGAAAAAGTTGAGAAAGGTTATTCTACAGGGATAGTCCAAGCTGGACCAATGTTACTGTCCAAAATATCCATACCTGGAGATCATCTTTAAAGCTTGTCTCCAGGAAAGTTAACAATTCTCTGGTGCAGTGAGCTTGTACTTGCACTGCAAGGGATTACTGCTTGTTTCTATCTAGGGGATTTAGATCGCTGTTTCATTTTCCTGATCCTCCACTCTCGCAGGTACTTCTATGCTGCTAAACTGGTTCCTGCAGCTTCTTCTTCCCTGCACTCTGGCAGTCCAATGCAGGAGCATGGGGAGTGCCAACAGCCAGGGAAGCAATGGATTGGATTAGTAAAAGTGCCATTACGGTCTCACTAGATGAGTAATTAACCCTTGTAGTGCAGACACAGCCGTACTGCTAGGAAGAATGTTTACGTTTACTAGAGATGGGCTTTAACCACTTGGCAACTGCGCTATAGCCGAATGACAGCTACGGTGTGGTTGTCCAGTTCCGGGAGGGCGTCATATGGCATCATATCCCAGCGACGCATATCCCGGCCATCTCTGTGATCGCTGTGACTTACAATGACACAGCAGTTCACAGTGTAAATACAGTTGCTGGTTATCGGTAGCACTTTCCTCACGCTATCACAGCGTGAGGAAAGTACTGCCGATAACCGGCAATTGTTAGACAACAGATCGACACTGATTATTAGGACAGTGATGATTAGTGCCGCCCCAGCAGTGCCACCCAGCAATGCTGCCCTTCAGTGTCCATCAGTTCAGCATCATCAGTGCTGCCTATCAGTGCAGCCTCATCAATGCACATCAGTGAAGGAGAAAAATTACCTGTTTGCAAAATTTTATAATAGAAACAAAGAACAACTTTATTTTTTCAAGGCAAAAATAAAACACCTAGTGGCGGTTAAATACCACCAAAAGAAAGCTCTATTTGTGTGAACAAAATTTAAAAAAATTTTTCATATGGGTACAGTGTTGCATGACCACGTACTTGTCATTCAAAGTGCGACCGCTGAAAGCTGAAAATTTGGCCTGGGCACGAAGGGGGTATAAGTGCCCTGTAGGCAAGTGGTTAACTGTTCATTTTTACTCAATAAAACATGTAATGTGATAAGCGATTCCCAAACATGTATGTAAACCTGGGTTTACACGGACTGAAAACTAGCCGGTTCAGCAGGAGCTAGATGAATTTCAGTGTATGTGTTCCTCTGTCTGTTCAACAGAAACTGGTCTAACGACCGCCTTATATTGAACGGTCATTCTGGAAAACCAGCTTTTTATCAGCGCTTGCAGCCAATGTCTGCAGCACTGATCTGTGTATTCTTAAGGGGGGAGATCAGAATACAATAGCGCAGCAGGGGAGATCCCTTCATCTGCATTTCTTGTATGGATGCGAGGATCTGTCCATGTATACCCTGCTTAATACAACCTCCTTATCACAATTATTGTCTGTCTTGAAGATCCAAAGGGTTCAGCTGGTAAGAAGTTTGAATGTTATGTTGTGTACAAGTGTCAGCTTCTGGTGTGGTATGCAATGTTTGAGAACTTGTTAGCTGTCTGCCTATCAGTATCTGTATGTTCTTTCCCACACTCCAGTGTACTTACAGAGGAATTTTATGCCTCTCTTGTTTTCCAGGAATTCATGTCATCTATAACAAGTTATCTTTTTGAGTCTCTGTTTCCTGGTTCATCGCATCCTACGAGGTTTTCAGTCTTGACAATTTTAGGATCCATTGCAGAGATATTTCCTAATGTTCAAGGTGAGGAATTATGCCAAATCCCCCCCCCCCCCCAGGAAAAAAAGAATATATTTTTGGTATAAATTAAACTTATGAGGATAGAAATATGGGCACTGTTGACTTGTTTTTAAAAAGGTGATGTTCAAGGTGAGGAATTATGCCAAACCCCCCCCCCCCCCCCCCCCCCTCGCCCCCCCCCCCCAAAAAAAAATAATTTTTTTTAGACTTTGGTATAAATTGAATTTATGAGGATAGAAATATGGGCATTCGTTCATAAATCCGCAATAGAGGAAAATCTGTGACTCTTGTGCTCGTGAAGATGGACAAACATTGCACTAACCAGATAGCGCGCTTAATGCGCATGGAGCAAATAAGACCTGCTCCTGGTGCTCTGGACGTGTAAAATCATAAGGATAGGTGTCGTCAGCGTGTAGGCCACTAGGTGTCATCCATCTAGGTATACCCTCTAGTCTTCAAATATGCCAATCACAGCCACCAGGGGGAGGATCACACACCAATCCAGGTCACAGAGAACCTTCAAAAACGGGCTCCCAAGGAAATGATGAGCCCAGAGAAAGCTTCCAATAGTGCAGTAGATCTTTAATTCACAAAAATCCAGCATATACAGATTAAAACACAAACTTACATCCGGATCCAATATGGCCGCCGGGTGTCATTCAGGATGGCCTTGCAGTGTATGCACAGTAGTCAGGGGCACCTCCCTAACGCGTTTTGTGTCCTTACACTTCCTCGGAGGGGACCTGGATTGGTGTGTTTCTTATATTGGGTTTTAGAGGTTGCCTTTTATGCTAGCAGCTTATATATTGTTATTCCCAGCGCTTGATTACCGCTTCTATAGAAATATGGGCATTGTTGACTTGTTTTTAAAAAGGTGAAGTCTGTGGTTCTGTCACCATAATTCTGATTTTCACCACCTAGTGAGTGGCTGAGCTGAATGCAGAATGAGCGTTCTGATTTCACTAGATACCAGCTTATTCCATGGCATAATGTGTCAGATTGTGGAGCAAAAATCAGGATGTCAAAAAAAGCTCTTTTATTTTTATCCTCAAAAATTATTTTAATTGCCTCACAAATTAATTTAGTGAACTCTGTATATAAATATTTTACACTAACTGGCATAATTTTGTAAGATGACTTATAGTATATCTCCAGGCATTACAAAAACTTGGCCCTAAACCTCCCTCTTTGTCCCAGCATGATCTGTTTCCTTGTTATTGTAATGAGAAATCTGCTTTTACTCACACCCTCCCTCCTTCCCCTGTGATGTCATTACAATGTTTGTAAATTTTTTGCAGGGACAGTAGCTTGCAGCTCTGTTTCTGTTGATGTAGGCTTGCCCCCAGAACTACGTCTCCTAAGAGCCCTTTTTCCTACACACAGTGGGGTTGACAAACTGGAGAATGGGAAATCTGGTGCAGCTCTGCATGGTAGCCAATCCACTTCTAAATTCAGCTTGTTCAATTAAGCATTGACAAAAAAAATGGAAGCTGATTGGTTTCTGTGCAGAGCTGCACCAGATGTTTTCACTCCCCAGTTTTAGTAAATCAATCCCACTGTGTAGACAGGATCATGGAAGTCAAAGCAGCAGCTTTGTTGGGAATAGGTGGAGTTCTGTAGTTCAGCAGGCTGACAAAACTGTTTGGATTTTCAGTTCAGAAGAGGTGCTGTGTTGTCTGCCTAAACAGGAAGTGAGAAGCATACTGAATTTTTGGCAAATCAACAGGTTTTTTTTTTATACTGGCAGCATTTTTAAAGATACAAAAAACCCTCCAAAAAGTTCTCACCTAAAAACTTTCCAGTCCCGATTCCTTCTATGCACAGAAGGCAGGGTCCTTATTCAGGTGTCTGCATTGTTGCATGTATGACATGAACACTTCCTTATGGAACATGGACTTCGGATTAAGGCTTTCTGTTTTGCTCAGATATGGGCTTTAAAAAGCTAAGAGCTAGTTTAGTGCCATCCTCTGTGCAGAGCCACTGCGTTCAGATCTGTGCATCTGCTCTTTCCTGTATATTAAATTTTGACATGCGATTCTGTCTGTGTCGGCACTGCATGTGCATCCACGTCTTTGGGCTCCCTGCACGTAGCTCTGAGGTGGATACATCCACATCTGCCAGTGGCTCTGCACAATGGACGACACTAATCTATCTTCTGAATGAGAATTAAAACATGGGGAAATGTGATTTTATTGCATAGATGTACTGTGTATATTTTTCTTGCCTCAAGATACACTTTAAAGGAGAGCTCCAGTTTCCAGAGGTGCTGTTAGTGTAGGGCAATTAAATGATACACTTTATAAAATTATATCGTTAATGTCTCTTATGTTGCACAGGCTCTTGAAGTTTTTAATGCCCATTTTTTTCCCTTTGTGTTCTCATGGGGCATCATTAAACACAACTCGAGTGCTCATTTTGGAGAACATTCTTTGGCTACAGCTCTGTTCCTCATTGTAGTTCACGATTGTTGCCCTGGACAGAAAATTGATAATACTGGGGATTTTAAAATGAAGCTTTTCTGCCCTACTAGTGATGTCACAGCCTTGACGTTGGCATGCAAACTAGAAGTCAGAGAACAGTAAAGAGTCCTTCTCTTCGCTGATGCATGGGAAAAGTGCCTCCATTGACAAAAGCCTATGGCTGCTTTCACAGTGCACACTGCAGTGCTTCTGAAACGCATTATGTATTGCATAGTTTTTAAATGTGTTGCATTATGGCGCCCCTGCGTGAATAGATGGTTGTTAAGGACAGCGTTGGGTGCTGGCTCCTTAACAACTGGTTATTCATTGGTTGTTAAGGATGCCGGCGGGTGCTGGATCCTTAACAACTTGGTTGGTTGTTGAGGATGCCGGTGGGTGGTTAAGGAACTGGAAGCCTCTGGATTTCTTAACAACCAGTGATGATGCCTTCCCCTTGGTGGTCCGCATGCTCCAGCTCCTCCTGTGCAGGAGCAACGCTACCACTGGAGGGGGGAGGAGGCAGAGAGACAGTGGGACAGCTGGGAACATTAGATGTGAGGGAGGAGAGGGGGCAATAGGACTGGAGGGCTAATAAAAATTCCAGAACTCCCATTCCACCCCAGAGGGGGATAGGGTGACTTCCAGGAGGGTGGGGGGGGGCATATTTTAACTATTTCCTGACTGTTAAGAAAGCCAGCATGTGCCGGCTCCTTAACAGTCAACTATTCACTGGTTGTTAAGGATGCTATGTATCCCAAAACTGCGCCCTGGGTGTTTTTGCTGAGTTTTTGGTGTATTTTGGTGAGGTTCCCATTGACTTCAATGGAAGGTGCATCTTTGGTATGCTTTTGGAAAAGCACACCAAAGATGCAGCATACAGGACTTTTCAAACTGTAGCACAAACGCAACGCAGCAATGTGAAAAGTCTCATAGGATTTAAAGTGAAATAATTTTGATGCGCTTTTGTCCCTCTAAAAAAAGGTGCGTTCCAGAGTGGCAAAAGCACATCAGTGGGAAATGGGTCTAAAAAAACAAACAAAAAACAGAACAGCAGCTGGAATTTTATCTGCTACCTGGTTCCTTGAAAGGTACAGCCCTGACCTAATTTTTCTTTGATTTTTTTTCTCTTGCTCTGCCAATATACCAACTTGTGTGTTTGTATCTGGGCTCATTCAGTCTTGTTGGGATCTCCTCTGTACAACAATGACCTGAAGTGCGGAAACGAAAACATCTGCATTTAATATGGCTTTTCTTTTAAATGTATCTGGAAGCCAGGGCTACATCTGCACTTGGTAATTCACATGTGCAGGTCTCCGTGTTCCTTTATTGGGAGCAGTAAAGCTTAACGAGCTTTGTTTTGTGAAGCAGAAACCTATTAGTGAGATTTCTTTCCTACTAATGATGTCTTTTCACAGGCTCTTGTCAGAGCGTATTTCAGTTCGCTCAGTCGGTCAGCGGTAACAATGTGCACGCTCTCCTAGAGTGCTTCAGTAACACCTTTGAGGAAGTGAAACTCCTTGCCTTTGAACTTCTGAGAAAGCTGCCCCCATCTGTTCTGGGCCTCCAGGTAATTATGACCAGAATGCAAAAAAAAAAAGTGCTCCATGCTGGCAACACAATCAGTGAGAGATTCTGCTATTTCTATGAAGCACTAGCTTCAGGGGGATGAAGAGTTATTTTGACCGTTTCAGCAAGGATGAAGATTAAAATCTATGATCGAGAGGAAGAAAACATAGAAAAGTCATAAACTTGTAAAGTTTTTATGAACACCAGCATGCCAATAATTTTGGTAATGCAGTGAAGCATTTAAAGAATATGTTTACCCTTAACAAAAAAAAGTTGATTTTGATTGGATGCTAGGGGGTTGAACCTGACCCCAACCTTAAACACTGGGATCTTAAGAGGTGGCCTGTTTCCAAATCAACTCCCAGCCCCTCTAGCTCCCCAATCGTATACTTTTGGAAGACATGGCTGGGCAGTTATGGATTTAGAGGCCTTCAGCCTGATTTAGTGATTAGACTAGAGGGAAAAGCATATAGCTCAGTCTCTGCTTATGGGTAAATATGGCTATAACTGTGCTATACACCAGAGATTCTTGAAGCACAGATATCTAAATGGGGCAGAAAGGAATGATTTGTGTGATTCCATCCATGTACAGCAACAAACAAACCTCAATTACAAGAAATAGCCAGCACACCATGTGTGTTGAAATAAAAAAGAGCACATAGTATCCACCAATGTTTTAGGGCCCTTTTTATCATCTAGAAGAAGGGGTCTTGCAAAAAAGGAGTCCCTCGTGGCCCTGAAACTGTGGATATAATGTGATGTCTTATCTTTTTTTATTTGACCTCATTAAATGTTTAAGGTACATGGGAGGTGTGGTGACTGTTTCTTTTAATTGAGGTCTTTATTGCTGTCTGTGAAATATACAAAAATGGTGTGGCAATAAATCATAAATAACAATACAGTAATGTGATAAATAAAGT